ATCATCTATGAATGCATATGTTGACACCTTACTATGGCCAGAGAATAAGATTACTGGAAGAACTCGAAATAATGTGCTGCTTTGGACAGAGCTATGCGCGTTAACATAAACTGTTGCTACTATGACGTTTACATTGATTTTTCTTGATGATTTCGTATTCAGCGCAACAAATAACTCTCTATTGTGTAGGAGCAGATGGTGGTTGCGATTACAGCCATCAATGTCACACGTTTCGGTTAATTTACAACTTTTAGCCGGGTGCTTCTCCAAGTATCGGTGACATAATTTAAACTTGCTAACTAGATGCCATCTACGAAGACGTGACATTACCTTACAATTGGACACATTACTACAGTTTTCGTTGCAAACGATACATCTCACCGCTTGCGCTTGCGGATTCTTATTGACTCCTTTGGGACGATTTCGCAATTGGCTCCTTGTGCTATTTCAAAAAGCCAGTCGCTGAATTACCGTAAGTTACAAGCCGGCAAACTCCGCTTAATTTTGAAACGAGTCTTTGTTCGAATTCCAGATTATTCAAGTGACAAGTCAGGCCTGAAGCAGACATTGTTGCACAAATATTTTGTACTTCAACGGCAAAATCGACAATAGATTCCAGCTGGCTATCTGATGGCACAAATTTTACGCTGCAACACACCGATGATTAATTGGTCGCCTCTCATTCAACTCATCGTCGAATCCTATTGCGTCAATCCGATCGAGAAAGCTGGAAATCGCTTTGCTCATGAGCAATTCGGCTATGCGACGAAGACCTTGCGAACCAACAGAGTTTACGGAGTGAGCCGGGCTTATTCCTCTGAAACAGCACTTCTCTCCGGGAAGTGGACCGGCGACTGACTTTTTCGAAAAAAGCTAATTTGTTGTTTAAGTTGTTAAGGACTTGGGAAAACAAGAGAGAGACTATTTTTCCCGCTAAGAAGTGGAATGGGGACTGGCTTATTCAAAAAAAAGTTTATTTATGGCAGGAGTTGCTTCATATTTGTTACATATGTGGCTTTTTGCTTACATCAACAGAAAAACTCTTATTATGTCCAGGAAGGGAGCCATAGATGAACTTATTCAAGAAATTTATAGTTCGATTTACTTTAAATTTAGTAGATAGGTAGCTTTTTGCTAAGATTGACAGTAAGGCTACACTTATCTACGGGAAGAGGCCAGCGACTGACTTATTCGAAAGAATCTTATTTATGGCTTGGCTTAATTGAAATTCTCTCCGACTTGCCCATTCAAAAAGTCGGGATATTCCTCTCTCCAGGAAGTGGACCAATGTCAATGGCAAAACCAAAAATTTTGTGTTCCTCAAGTTTACATTCAATGAGTATGTGCGACAGCGAAGCGTTGCAGGCTACAGATAGTAGTATATATAATATTATATTGGTTAGCATTGCGTACTGCCATTCAGAAAACTCGGGTTCAAATCCTGGTGTTGCTTTAACATCCAAAAAGTAAAAGAAAATTTATTTAAATAAAAAATTAAGCTAAATTTTCTGATCGCGGTCGCCTTTCGGCAGGGAATGTCGATCCATCGGATTGTGTTTTGACATGAAATAAAACTCCTCACAAAAAATCGCGCCTGAGTATAAACTGTAGGTCGCTCTATTTGCCGGAAAAGTATCAGGTCACAAAACCATATATTAGAGGAGGTGCTCGGCGGATTCAATGATATATCTGCACTTATTCGTTATATATGTTTATATATTTATGTAAGTTCTCCGCGAAATCGTTTCTTTAGTTATCTATTTATAATTCTTCATGCTCATTTATATTAACGATATACTCATGTTTTCTCGTATACCAACAAGTAATTTTAAGTTTATCTTAGGGAGATTTGTATTAGTAAATACTAAAGGTGTGCGTGAATGGATTTGAAAGCAAGTACAAGACATTCGATGTCTGAAACAAAATATACTTACATACAAGTACACAAAACAAAATGATAATGCATCCTCTGCCCTTTTGCTCTTATGCTCATTTTTCATATAAATAGTTTATGGAATCGCAGTTTCATTATCGCTGAATATAATAATTTAATAAAAACTAAAAAGTCAAAGTAGTTTACAAAACTATGTAAACAAACTGAATACCCCTACTTGCTTTGCAGAAACAATTGTTTTAAATATACATATCTATGGATTTTTATACAAATGAAGAATTATTATTGCCTTACATGGGCTAATCGCCAAAAAATTTACTTTTTACTTTTGGTGTTACAATTATATTTAGTGCGAAAAGAATAAACATTTATTTCTTATTTTCCAACTAATTTTTCAATACATATGTAAAATTTTTCTTTTCAAAAATATTAAGTTACATCATCAATATCAATTGTAATAACACATATTTTTTAATTTACAATGCATTTTACACACACTTTGTTTATGATTTTACTATTTATTTATTTAAATTTTGCAAAATATTTCAAAGTGCTGAATGCACTTGTTAGAGTTTCCTGTTACTTTGATGTCTCTAGTGAAAATATAAGAGTGAAGCATAAGCTTGAAGAGAACAAGTTCTCTCTTTGGTATTTTAAAAATGAGTATCGTCAGAGGAGGATTTGATTATTAGAGTGAAGTAAAAGCAATAAAATAGATGAAATGGTGAAGAAAGATGTAAAAAAAAATTTACAACTTGAAACAACTATTATTTTCGAAAAATAAAACACTCATTCAAAAAGAAATTAAAGATGAAATTGGTCTGATTATTGACCAACCTAAACCTGGCTTTCGGAGTTCTAATGATTTCAATACTACCAGGCGTTTTTAAGATCTCAAGAAGTCAGCAACATTTACTAAAGTTGATATAATTTTTATTAAAAGGATGCATACAATACTCGCAGTTGTTTCTAGTGGGCACGCACTGACTTACAGAAGTTTCGTGAAGTTTGGTTTTGAATTTATTTAAATTGAATAATTTTCAAATATTGGGCTGGCTGATGGATGTCATGGCTAGGGATCCACTCCAGATCGTTAAATTCGGGTGAAGAAAAAGGAGTTCTCGGGTAAGTTGTGCTCACTTGAAGTAGTAAAAATGCAATAACGTCAGACAAATCTAGAAATTCTTGTCAACCCGTTTTGATTTAGAACCGTAACTGATGTTATGATTTTTTAAGGAAAGAAATTTAATCGAGATATTATGGTATTGCGGTATGCGTATTTATGACTTCCCGACAAATGGAGCGACCTACATTTTTTACTAAGCCGCCACCGAACGACTGATGGTTTTTTATGATGAGCCATTATTTTATGTCAGAAATACACTCGGAGGGGTGGCATTCCCTTCCTAAGGGCGACGACATTCCCTTTCGAGGGGCGACGGCAATCAGAAATTTTAACAATTTTTTTATTTATTTATATTTTATGGCTAGTTAAGATCATGAAATACTTGTTAAGGGACAAAAAATGTTCGTTACTAAAAAGAGTTGCAATCTTTTTGATCGATTTTCTACTACGAAGAAAATAAAAGATTGAAATTAGGGAAGATCAAAAATATTTTTCTTCAAAGGACGAGACATATTTTTGAAGAAAATCTTTTGCGGCAGTACACTACGGTTTCAGATTACACATGTTCCCTTTTAGCCCACAACCCCGCATCTGAGCATTTGTCGTATAAAAGAGATAACTCGAAGATCGATGCCCAGGCAAGGCAGGCCAGAATTAAGTGAAGGCGCCGCTATATTATTGAAGGCACCCTCAATATCCAGAAAAGCCAATAGGCTATATTATATGACCTACATAGATCTTTCATTTTGTGATATTATTGTGTATAATACCTGTCTCCATTCATCTGCCTTTCGAGAATCCACAGTAGACCCAATGTAAATCTCCATCAATCAATCTTCTACTTTGGGCACGAGGGATATCAGGCTAATGGATTTTAAATCCTCCATGACTTAGGTATGTAGTTTATATTGACGTCTCCATTCAATATAGCTACTGTTATCCAAAGACTGCTGAAAATGAGTAGGTGTAATTTATCACTTGCTCTTTCTTACTGTTAAGAGATTTTTTAGTGTACATTGCTTACGATGCCCTAATTGATACCTCAGAAAATTTAGTATTTAGATCACAAACGCCGTTCACGTTCGATGGGGCTCTGCAAGTATACCGGCACTGAACGAGGGTAATTGAGAGTACTTTCCTGAACCGACTCCCTTCTGACGCTGTCTCCACATTGCTGCAAAAGTTTCTCTACCTAGTAATACTATTTGAATTTGAAAAAAGTTCCATGTTTTCCTCGAAAACCAAATTGATGTGTATATAAATAATAGGCGCTTTGTAACCGCTGAACCGGGTTTCGACCGAGCTCCTCCTCTAATTTGTTGTTTTTCGTCATTTTGATTTTCCAACAAATGGGGGGACCTTTTATTTCATGTCAGAAATACACTCGAAGGGATTGGCATTCTCTTCCGAGAGGCGAACGCAAGATCTAAGAGAGTAAAAATACTTGTCAGCTCAGGCAGCGACGCCCCGCAAATTTCAGTACATCTCGGAACATTATTTTTTGGTGGTTTATGGTATCGCCAACTTTCCAAAGCGATTTTTTAGAAGAAGCGTTGGACGCTTCAAAATTCCTCTTTTCCCTTTTTTCTGCCATTTTTCGTCCGATTTTTATATCGGCGGATCGGTAGGCTATACTAAAGCGACAAAAGCATAGGTTACTCCGGTATTGCTATAGTTGCTGCTGTTTCTAACATATAAGTGACTCGTTTTCAATGTCAGTTTCTCTCTCTATTTCGGGAAGGATCTGTATATGACTACTAATGTATTTGCATAATTAAGCCATTTATTTCTGAATATAATTGCTTGTTCGTTCTATTTATTGATTTCTAGGAACAATCTTTAGATTCTTCACAAAGGTCAAGGTTTAGAAAGTAATAATAATTTTTACAAAGCAAGATTTAATTGAACTATTTTATTTGCTGGAAACATGCGTGTCCGCAGCAAAAGCAAAGAACTATACTTAATTCCATGTATGTACCATCCAAAATATAGCCTCGCTTTTATTATATCAAGCTTCATCGATGTCACGAAGTAGCACAAAATATGATCCGCTGGCTTTGAAAATCTGAAATTAAAAAAGAGAAAGATTAATAAATACTTTAGCAGATTCGGAAATAGCCCTGCAAATAATTGTGTTGCAAATCGCTAAAGAGAGTAAACCGGGATTAATCTAAATTATAATTAAGTACAATTCGGTACCAACTAGTACCAATTTACATGATCTCAGCGACCGCGGTAGCCGAGTGGTTAGAATTGCTTACTGTCATTCGGAAGACTTGGGTTCAAATCCTTATGTCGTACCAACATCCAAAAAGTTATAGAAAATGTATAATTAAAATTTAAGGGGATGTCGACCCCTCCGAGTGTGTTTTTGACATGACAAAGCTCCTCAGAAGAAACCACCAGCAGTTCGGAGGCGGATTAATATAAATTGCAGGTGCCTCCATTTGTTCGAAAATCTGATAAGAGGAGGAGCTCGGCCGAAAATCCCTTCAGCGGCTACAAAGCGGCAATTATATACCTATATACATATATAATCTCAAACGAAGGCGAGTACACTTATTTTATACTATCATTTATTTTTCTTTTTTCTGCATTTCGTCTAATACTTTCACTAAAATTTCCAAAGACACATTGTTGTCTACCGAGTAAGGTTTATATTGTAGAATACAAGGTTACGACAACCGTTAACAACGCCGAACCAACGTCGTCATAGCGGATATTAGATAATAAAAAGAAATAAGCTTTCTCTTTCAAAAATGTTTAAGTATGGAAATATGGCAAACATTTCCTATACAGAAGAAAACTTAAATGCCGAATATCACCATATAATTATACACATTTAATGCGTTAGTACCATTTTTTTTTTTGTGCAAATCAATACTTCATTCTTGAAGATACATTATATTGTTACCTATTCGACGAATTTAAGTTTTGTTAGTGACGAAACTTTAGGTCTTCAGCCAAACATTCATATCATTGAATTCATAAAATGACGCGTTTAACGACAGCGTTCACTTTGAATTTTTATCATTTTTAATGTTTTTGCCATTATTTTCTGATGTCATTCGTATTATAGGGCACCAAAAGTGAAAGTTGCTAGCTAAAGACATTTTTGTTAACAAATAATATTAATTTTCAAAGTTTAAAAATTTTTGAAACCTAAAATATGGGTGAGAAGGCAAAAAACTATTTAGAACGTTTTAATTGTCATTATTATTACTTCTAAAAAGAATTTTAATGCAAGGCTTTAGAATTTTGTAGTCAACACGTTAAGCTGTTTTATAAATGAAATTATGAAAATTTATTTTAAGACCTTCGGCAACCTACAAAATTTAACTAATTTCGTCCCTAACTATAGGATTCCGCTCTCCCCGTAACCTTGTATTCTACAAATCTTTTTCAAGAGTAATAAATAAAAATGATATGTATATGTGTAGTAATGTTCCTAATTTTTCTAGGTAGTTAACATGTAAATAAAAGCTGGTGATGAGGTAAGTGAACATATGTAAGTACGTATATTCGCGTATAAATATTTATATTCAGATTTGATGGACTCCAATTTCACTTCAAATTCCAATTTATCGATGATTTAACAAATTTTACAACCTAGATGTACAAGTGAATACAAACCATAAAGAATAGAGCCAAATTGAGATCCCGGGAATGCTAAAACAGGATCATGGATTCTAGATATTCCATTAAATTCAGAGAGTGCCCTAACAGTAAACTGATTAATTTAAATAAATGCAAAGTAGGGGCGCAAAGCGATGTAGTCAAGCTTCTGGGTATGCAGTTCCATTTTCGGGGCTTCACTCAATTCCTACTCTTACGTTCACATTGCGAGTCCTGGAAACATAAACAACGACAGAGCGTAAGTGGAGTAGAAAATCGTTCGATAGCCTTTTGTGTTAGAGGGGTGTAGTCAAGCTTCTGGGAATGCAATTACAGTTACGAGGCTATACTCATTTCCTACTCTTGCGTACACGTCGCGCACCCTGAAACGTGAGCAATCCTTGTGCAAGATGCGGTAACCAACACGTGTGGAGCCTTGGGTCACGGCTAATGAGAGAGGAAGCTTCAGTGGAGCCTGATTTGGTTTAAGGGTCTGCTGAAGTATAAATGTAGCGTCTGTTCACAAAAGGTGCGACTTCTAGCGGGTGGCGGTCTTGAAGCAAGCGGATCGTTATATAAATGTGCAAAACATTTTAATCTTACTCCCATAGCGAGGTTGTGCGTTCCATAGAAAATATAACAACACCTCGGATGCGATACCCCCTTTCTGATGACGGCCCTAGAAACAAATTAAGGATCATGATTTGAGGGTATGCACCTGCCCTCAAATCGTAATCCTTAATTCGTTTGCAGGTGTCGTCAACAGAACGGGGGTATCTCATACGAGGTGTTGTTATATTTTCTATGGAACGCACAACCTCGCTATGCTGCAGCCACTGCTTTAAATTTGAAATGCAGTCGGCAAAAGCCAAAAGAACTTGAAACTCAGAAAAAAAGGCCATCGTGAATTCAATAGCTGACCAAGAGGTTTAGAGCAAATAGTCTTTCAGAAACTCCAAAATATACTGGTCGCAAAAAATTTTTTACTATGCGTCTATGCATTTCAAAACTACAGCTGCTCACCGAAATATATGTACAAGTTAGTTAGACCAGTGTGATAGCGCAGTTTGCAATAAAATATAAATTTTGTTAATTTACGGATTTGAATATATATGTTGAATTTCTTTTCGAAAAGGGCTCTTTAAAGGGAAATTAGATGGTATCTGGGTAGATAACATATCCTCTGGGTAGTCAGTTAACATCCGACGCGAGCTAAAATCACATGCAGAAATCAAAAAATTTTAGAAGAGACTCCCCTTTTGATAACGAGCCCCTCCAAATGTTTTAAGGACCATGATTAGAGGGCATGCAGCTGAAACTTCAGTTCGTTTAACTGGGAAGCTAACGCTCCCAGCTGGTTGATGTCCTTGGAAGAATAGACGCTGACATCACCACCGCCCAAAACGTGCGATGGACGGGACAAATAGGTCCTTGTGAAATATACTATAGCAGTCAAATACAGGAGCGCAAGTTTGGTGTCGGACTAGTATTGGGAGAGAAACTTCGTTGCCGAGTGATGGCATTCACTCTTGTTAATGAACGATCGGCATAAAAAACTTTTTTTTAACACATCGCTGAGTTGCGCCCATGCTCCGACAGAAGATAAGGACGATGTGACCATACCATTCCATACGCTGCTCCCTCCAGGAGGTGAAAATTGTGCTAGGTGCAACTGTAGACATACACCCCCGAATGTGTTCAGGCCGTACGACTTCGCCGTGGCACGAAATATGATTGTCTGTATTACTCAATTCCAGCACAAGAAAATTCAGCAAGCTGTCTGGCTTTCTGCAGATGAAAAAACTCACAATTGATGAAAGATATGTGTCCAGTGTTCTATATGTGCGTTCCGAGATTTTAAAGTGGACTCGTAACATTATCTTCTTGCAGCAAGGATACGCACACCCTCTTTGTGTATCACAAACCCCCTTCAACAAACCCAAAGTTTTTGGCAGTGCCAGAAAAACAATTAGTGCGACGAGAAATTTCGAATATATCGATAACAGAACATGAGGAGGAATAGTTACTGATAGTTTAAGGGTTTACAAGGGTAATACTCGGAAATTAAATATTTTAGAATTTACAGCGACTAACAGAAGGTTATCGGAGCAAACTCATGTAGGACCCAGAGTTGTGCAAGGCCCAATCATTTACAGGAGTATGCAACTCCTGGCATATGCCGATGATATTGATATCATAAGCCTTCTACGTTCTGTAAGCTTGACAAAGGACGAGACAAATACCAGCCATATTGAATATAGACAGGACAGCTCCTCCGACGGCTTGAAGCAAGGGCTTACTTGGATTAATTAGGTTTATGGGTAAGTCTTGTCTTTTCTCGGTGAACAAAAACTAAGCTCTTCAAGTCCTTCATTATTTCTGTCGACGTCCTGTCAGCCGGTGCTGAAATGATCAGATATGGAGCGAACATGTTATTAGTGAGTAAAACCCTTGGACTGCAAAATAAATACAAAAAAAATGCTTTGCCGAAGAAAATGAGTTAAAACAGTCCAAAATCACTTTTAACCCTAGAAAAGGCGCATTCCGCTAGGTACTGAAATTACTCAGTCATTTTGTATGTATAGTGTAACATGTTTAAATTTGAATTAAATTATATTAAACTTACACTTAAAAATGTTTTAATGTTTATTATATCTACAATAATACATAAAATTCTCGTATCACAGTGTTAGATGGAGTATCCTGTCCGTAACGGCTTGTGCGATTTTAATGAAGTACTGTGTGCATATTTAGTAGAGAATAACATATTATCTATTTTGCACATCGGCAAGAGGGTTTGGGCCTGATCGATTCGAAAAATTTTAATTTATAGTTTGGCTTACTTGAAATTTGATACATAGGTAGCCTTTTGCTTAGTTTAGCAGCAACATTACTTTTGTTTCCAGGAATAGTACCGAGGACTGATCTATTCGAAAAACTCGTTACTGTGGTTTGGATTAATATAATATATAAAAATTTTCGGAAGTGGAGTTTGATTGGATTGGCCCATTCCGCAACCTGGTAGATGGCATCCTTCATTCACTTAAGCAGAAGCTTTGTTGAAAAGCACGCTCGTGTATATACGGGATCCGTTTCCTTGCATTTCCGTGCGTAAAAACAGAGCAATTTCATAGCGTGCGCTATGATAATTGTCTTTGCAATGAATTATGCAGAATAGATATATTGTATCCAAGTGAGAGAAAAAAAAACTCTCAGAACGAGACAATGATAAATCCCTATGTTGAAAACAATTTAAAATTTTTCCTGAATTGATACGCCTTGACGGAAATAAAATTCAACTTTATTAAGATAATCTCGATCGATTCGTGCGAGGTAATCTTACTTGCGATTCGATTCACTTGAAATTTAATTTGTTGGTAGCTTACCGTTCAGATTAACATGAAAAACTGGTTCTGAATAATCCTATTTATAGTTCGATTTGCTTGAATT